CAGTGCGTATGCATTTTAACGTGGATATGCATCTCAAAAGGACACGGCGGAAGAAAAAAAAAAAACACCATCGGGGAGGAAAGCGAGGCTTCAAATGAGCGAGAATGTCAGCAGAGAGCTGGAGCTCTGAGTTTGTGTTTATCACCGTCTCAAGACGGACTGAAGAACTTGGACTGCAGGGAAAGAGAGAGAGAGAGAGAGAGAAGTGACCTGACTGCCAATGACGCCAAACCTCTATTTAAAGCTTCACCAGCAGCAAAGGCCCCGGCACTGACACATTTACCTCTTGGTCTCACCTCTTATCAGCAGCCAAAGAACACTGAAAGCATGTTTATTGTTTGCCCAAGTTGCACAGATCAGAGCAGGTGGGGCACTGTGAAAGCAGAGCTGAGAGATGAGAGGGACGGTTGTGTGACTGCGAGTTAAGACACATTTTGGGGACTTTTGGGCCAGAGGTCACTTGATGATGATGTGTGCTTAGCATTGCCATGGCGAACAGCAGGTGATGACAGCTCTGCCCGCCGCACTCCAACACCAACATAGTGGACCGCTCAGATGGAAAAGTGCAGGCCTATCAGTCAGTGCAAACTTGTGTATTTTTGTTGTTTTAAAGATAAATAAGATTAAGGTGTTGGGCAATTTGGGGCAAGCTGTAGGTCGGATGAAAAGATAAAAAGTGTTTCCAGGTTAAAGAGGTATTCTTAAAAACTATTACCCTCTGCTTTTGAGTGTTTATAAAATAAAATATAAAGGAAAAACACACAGAATAAGAAAATGAAAGGGGGAAAAGGGGGAGGCAGAGAGTGACTCAACTGGTGGTCCAGCAGCTGCATCCCACCAGCAAACTCAGAGACGTGGCTGCCTCCATGTACAGCATCTCTGTGTGTTTATAAACTTCTATATCTATGTTACTGCCTTTAAAAGTGTGTGTATCTGTGTGTGTGTGTGTGTGTGTGTGTGTTCACTGAACAAAAGTCAAACTTACCAGGATCCCAGCAAACTGCTTCTCTTCCATCCTTCAGGACCTTGTCGGCAAAGATCCCCTGCCTCTCTCTCTCTCGCTCTCTCTCTCTCTGGGATGGACTCGTCCGCCTCTCGCTACCAGAGTTTTGGAGTTTTTCGGAGGTGGCGTTCGCTCGAGCGTCCCGGTCCCTCCTTCGTTCCTCTGCTGCGTTGCCTGCGAGTGTAGCTGGAGTGGCGTCGCTGCTTTGTGTTAATTCTGCCCTAATCCAGAAACTTTTCTATGCTGTGAAAAGAACATGTGACAGGCAGAGAGGGGTGGAGGGGCGGAGAGGAGTGGGGAAGGAGTGGAGGGGGTGGGGGGCAAGGCAACACATTTTAGTTACTTGTCCCCTTGGCCACGTTCAAAACAATTCCTCGGCCTTTGTACATGACCTGCAGCGAGGTAGAAAATGTAAAAATGCAAAACCGAATGTCTCAGAGTTCAATAAACTGAGAGTGGAAATAAAACTCGTTAGAGAGAGGAGAAGTTAGAAAGGAGGCAGAGAGAGAATTCAGAAAACATGTAGTAACAGATTTGCATTTTGTAGCAAAGCAGCTGCCATAACAAAGTGCCCTTTTGTGTAAAGAGATTAACTGTTAGGGGAACGTTTAGACTGCCTACTGACTACTGCTGTATGAGAGCCAAACTGGAAAAGAATACTCAAAAACAGCCTGGATTTGGAAGAAAGTGGCAGAAAATACTTCCCAAACAGAGTGAAATGTATCGGAAAGGCTTGTGTTGGCAAGTTACTTCAGATTTGATGGCTCATTTCCGTTAATATTTTACCTGTGATAAATGTGAACATCAAAAATAAATAATGTGATAATAACACGTTTCTGCAATTATTATAATTTAATTAAAAATAATTAGAGGAGCCTGGTCTGGAGAAACTTTTCCAGGATGAACTGCTATGTAAAAAATGGGGCTTTTTACTTAATCTACAACTTATTCTTTTAATTGATTTAATTGATAAATTGATTGGTCTAAATAATTATTAATCTTGGAAAAAAAATGAAAAATGCTTTGCATTTATTTTAGAATTAAAGAATATTTTTAATTAACAACTAGCCAATTATCAATATAGTTGTTTCTGTTGATTGACCAACTGATGAATCAAATTGAATCTAATTGTTTCAGATGTAGTGAAAACGTTTTAATATAGCTGATTACATAATTTCTTTGGCACTGGTGTATTGCGAAGTGCAAACAGAGGGTGACAGGCTTAGGAGGTGGAGCCGCTTGGAAAGGTTTTGGTTGCGGAGGACTCAGGCGTGTGTAATGGTGCTGCACTTGTGAAAATTCAAAGCTCTTTCCCTCAATACAGAGAGAGACTGCAGATGGCTGTCCTGACCCCACACCAATCAGCCAAGGATGACAGGAAGCGGGTTGAGAACAGACTGCGCTTACAAAGCCTTCATTTTCAACAGAATTCCACCTTATCTTGGCTACATAGTGACCCGTTAGAGAGGGGCAAATATAAGCTACTGGGCCTCTGTCAATCTCCTGTTCCTCACACTCCCTGTGGAATGTGTGCAGTACTCGTACGCATTATTGTAGTCGAAATATGCAACATATAAATAAACCTTTCATAATGCAGTACTTGCTGTATATCACCAAATACATTTTCCATCAAATGAGCACAGACCAGTTAACACACAGTAAGACTGGAGCTTTCCAGGAGAGTTGGCCACTTTGCCCAGTTGGTAATCAGGCCTTGCCATACCTCATTTACATGGAACTCCCCTTCCTCTCTTGGGCCATACGTGATGCAGAGGGAGGGAAAACACATGCCAAAGCGCTTCAAGTGAGTTAGGAAAACCAAATTCTTGTAATTCATATGTAAGTCTCTGCAAGGCGATGGGCAAAAATCATGTGATATGTTCTTACCTCGACAAACTGCTCACTTACGAAACAATCTAATTAGACATCTGAATGCTTGATTTGCTCAAACAACAGCCCAAAATGCAAATATATTCAATTTACAGTGATATAAAACAGAGAAAAGCTGTTAAGCTGTCATGTGGAGACCGGAGTGTGAGTCAACCACTGTAACTCTGCCGCATGTCTCCTTCCACCTGACTCAGTGAATAGAAACCCTAGACGGTGAACTAAAAGCATCCCAGCAAAGGGAGAGAAAAAAGTGGCCAAATATAGCCACCATTCAGTGGTAAACACAAACATAAACGCACTGCCTCTCACATGTATACAGGTTCCTACAGGGATTCAAAAATGCCCCAGGACATCCATCATACACAGCGCGCTGCACATTGATGAAAGGATGACATGAAACAAAACTAGGTTAAAAACTGAGCCTTACCATCCATGTTATGATGACTGAAGACAACAGAAAGAAAGTAAGGGAAACACCAACTTCTGCATCAGTAAAGGGAAGCGGCTCAGCTGTGAGAAACTAACTGGTGTGAAGACTGAAGTGTATGATCAAGTCACAGTGGTCTGGCCCCATCCCACTGGTTGACTCTACTAATGTACACAAGGCAGGAGTTGAGCCGAGGCTATTGGGCCATCCCAGGAGGAGTGGCAGTAAGAGGTTACATTAAACACACTCTGAGACCTGACGTGTCTGTTAGCTGTTATGACAGATGTTTCCGCCTAAATAATTAGTTACCAAGCATGTTTTTCATTAAGTACCCTGGTACATCCTGAAGGTCAAATGAATTGAGTTGAAATTGGTTTGTATAAAAGTGATGTCAGCTTTAAGGGTCTGTTTGATTTACTCATTCTTTCATTCATTGTTTCATGTGTTCTATCAGCCAAACATGCCAACTATTCTCTGGTTCCAGCTTCTTAAAAATTAGGACTTAGTTTTCATTTTAATTCGAAAATCTTTCGGTTGTGGGCTTTTTTATTTTTATTTTTTTATTTTTTGTGAAAAGCTAATGGCAAAACACAGGGACTCTGCTGATCCAGCAGTGAGGGGCTCAGGAGGTGAAGCAGCTTGGAAACAGGTTTTAGCTGTGGAGGATTCAGGTGTGCGTACTGAAAGCATTTTCCCTCAATACAGAGAGAGACTGCAGATGGCTTTCCTGACCCCACACCAATCGGCCGAGGATGACAGGAAGTGGGTTCAAAAACAGACTGCGCTTACAAAGCCTTCATTTGTAAGCACAACAGAACTCAGACACCTTAAGTGGCTACATATGGCCAGAGTAACCTGAAAGAGTCATGGGTTACCAAAGCACTTCAAGGAAGTGAAGAAAACACCAGTTTCTTGTGGTGGATATGTAAATCTCTGCATGGCTACAGGGGCAAAAACCATGTGATATTTTTTCACTTAATGACATGCCAAAAGGCAGACTGTATCTCAGCAAACTGCTAACCTAATCAACAGCATAATTAGATTTTTATGAGCCCGCTTGGTTTTCTCTTTGAGAATCATGTGTGACTAGATTGTAATGAAGGTAATTAAGGAACTGTGAATAAGGACAGAGGAAAATGTAAAGTAAATGAATGAGTAAATAAACTGTGTCGCCCAATATCTGCCCCTCTCTATGAAGCCTGGGGGGCAGTTGAGGACAGGTACAAATACTTTTGATCTAAGGCCTCTCCTCACCTTGTCTCCCCTTGGCTTTCTATGTCTCTAAGGTTAAATGAGTCTAGTAAGTGACAGACAACATCTATCGAGGTGAAGGAACTAGTGACTGCGAAAACAACGGTCCGTTCTCATGCTCGTATGACATGGGGTAAAACACAGTGGATTCAAGACAAAATAGCAGACATTATTGCTAGTATTTACAATGCATTATATTTTTAGGCTTGCAAAGCAGCTATTATCAATAATGTCAATATGCAGTGGTATGATTAGGACTCCACAAGCTCTGTTTTGTAATGATAGACAGTCTCTTTCTTACACTGTGCACTGAAAGGTAAATATGACTTAGAAATTGTGACAGCACTCAAAGCAGCACTAACTATGCTTTGTCCTTTGTTCAGCACGCAGTAAATAGAGCCAGCAAGCTATGCATCACTTTGGACTGCTGAAAAAATACAATAAGGCAATGACATTGGGAATGAGAAGATATGGGATTTTAATATGAAGTGCACAAATCTGGATTTTTTTCTTAATAGTGCCATTCAAATAATATTGACTGCCGTGGCAGACGATGGTAAGGGTGCTGTGAAAACACACAATCTATAGCAGTAAATCCATCAGTAAAGAGAGCAATGTGGACTCTAAACCACAGGTAAAATCACTGTGCTGAAGCATAGAAAAGTAAAGCTTTTACACACAACAACATAGACTCACACATAGGCAGTACACCAACATATGTACAACTTCAGATAGATCATTTTGACTTCAAAATAGAGATTTCTCATGAGTGACATATATATTTCACTGCAGTCAATACCTGTGATTATCTGAAACCGGAGGCTTTGTTGTTTAGTCAGGTGACTGAATAATGACCGTATATACTCCCTTAACCACCCAGCTGTGTGTTCAGTGTCGGGTGGAGGCTGTTGTTTTATTCTAGTTTTGACCACTATCGCTTGTCCCTGTAAATTTTAGTTGTTTTTTTAAATGTCTTTGCAAATTATGGAGCAATTTTTGTTAACGTTTGCAACTTTTTTTCAACAAGCTGGGAGTGCATTATGAGAAACACCACAGACTGTACCCGTTCAGCAGCAGAGGGAATGAATCAGACTTTATGATATATAAAACTATACAATACCTCCCCAATCATACACATGTCAACAAGTCAATAAGTCGTCAACTGGTTATTTTTTTCCACTTCAAGCACTGCTTGCCAACGTGAACAATGAAATTGACTGTTGCCATTGTAGGGGGTGCTAGAATTCTGGCAGTCCTAGTGTTAAAACTTGAATCTGTATGTCTGTGACTGAACATATATATATATATATATTATTGTTATTATTAATAACAGCTTTTCCTTCTAAGACGTGTCCAAATGTCTGCCACGGAAAAGGCTTATTGGCTACATGTAACATGAAAAGGGGTCACAGTGAGGAAACCACAGAGAATTACCATCCAACTCAGCTAGAGCTTGTTAGCCACTGTGCTGGCTATCAGCAAGAGGTGTATCCCACAAGTCAGTGACTGGGAAGTGAGGTCAAAGGTTAGAAGCTGTAGGTTCATTATGGCCGAGAACCAGACATGGACACACTGGGAGAGGACTGGCAGAAATGGACCTGAGGGAGTTATTAGCGGACAGAGTCAAAGTTGTAAGCAGCTCCTCCAAACTTTTAGCTGAGGTGA